TTCTAAATGGGTGAATTATATGACAATTACACTTGAGTAAATGGATGGTAAAACGTTAATAGTGTTATAACGAGGGGCTTTTTCTCTTAAACGTTACCACAAATTAACTCAAATACAACGTAAGTAGAAAGTAGATGTAGTTATTTACCTGTATTTTAAATTATTTAATAGCATTACGTAAAACTTGACGTAACTTAACATGGATTTCAAGTGTCATGTAGGATTCAATCACTGTAATAAAGTTTGTACTTAGTCGTACATGTACTTGTAAAACTTCTTGAGAGATAATTTGCGGTGGGGGGGGGTGTAACATTCGACCTTATGATCTAAAGCGCACGCGATAGCCAACTCGACCACTCCACCCATACATATGGAACGATTGTGTTGCCTATTTGCAGACCAGTTGAGGTTTTAACTAAAAATCCTCCACAGAAAGCACAGGCTGTGGGTCTACCGTTTCCTTGTGGGAATCGAACTCATGTACACGTTGACGTTCACGTAAAAGTAACCTATATGATCTAAAGTGCACGCGATAGCCCACCCAATCCCTTGGAACGATGGTGTTGTCTATTTGCAGACCAGTTGAGGGTCTAACTAAAGTCCTCCACGGAGAGCACGGGTCGTAGGTCTATCGTTTCCTTGTGGAAATCGAACTCGTAAAATTAGCCTAGAACTTGAAGTAAAACTAGGTCATAACGCCGTTGTCCGGGCAAAATTTCTCTCATAGCACACTGTTTATGCCTATCTTCATTAGCCCGACTGACAGAGGACCCGACTTGCGGTTCGACTTGAAATATTTATTGCGACTCTCGTCTCGGTGGAAGCGGACGTTAAATAAAGGTATTTCACACACACTCGTTTCGGACTCGGCAGTCGTGACGACTCGCGACTTGAAAGGGCGTGGGACGCGCGGCGACGGGGTATAACACTAACTTACCTGAATTGCTAACTCATTTGGTAAACTGGCGACGTGAACGGGACTCGGGCTTTGTGAAGACTTGGTACGCGGCTCGAATCGGTACTAAAGTCAAAGACTTGGGACTCTGTCTCGACGTGTGGGGACTTCGCACTGGACTCGAACGTTGAATCCATTCTATTTCATTTCTGTGTTTTGCTGTGGGGTGTAGAAGAAAGGAAAACGGATCCTCCCTATAGAAAAATGGGAATGGCACAAGCTGTAAAAATCTACAAAGAAAATAAATGACAAAATTAAGAAGGCTTCGTTGGGATGAATGTTAAAAATTAAAAGATTACATATCAAAAATTAAATACTTCGTTGTAAGGGATTATTATTATTAATATTACAGCATATTTATAGTGCACCGTTTGACATAACGTGTTCCGGTGCACTTTATAAATTGACAGTGTTTAATCATATAACAAAAAAAAAAGAAAAAAAAAAGAAGAAATATGGAAATGTTAAAAGTTGTATATACAGAATCAGTTAAAAGCTTGTTTAAATAAATGTGTTTTAAGTTGTTTTTTAAAAGAATATAGAGATGTTCAAGATTATATACTAAAAGGTGGATTATGCCATAAAACAGGGGTTTAAAAACTAAAAGAGCGCTCACCATAAGAGACTAGTTGAACAGGTTTGGGCTTTAAAAGTTGTTTATGTACGCAATGTTCGACCAAGTGTATAAAGATCTAAAAGATCTGAGAGGCAACAAGAGATAAATTTTTTAAACATTTAAAAGTTAGTATTAAAATCTTAAAATCAATTGGGTATTTAAGAGGTAACCAGTGTAAATTAAATAAAACAAGAGTTATGTGATCACATTTCTTGGTTAAAGTAACAAGTCTAGCTGCAGTATTCTGTACTTTTTGTAATTTATCTATGAGCTTTAAAGGCTCAATACCACTCTTGTTGTAACTGAATAATATGTTCCAATCTTTATTCTGGTCAACAAATTGTACTATTTTACAATATTCCAATTAATTGATGATACAAATTTCATCTTAACACACCTAATTTTAAAAAATGGGAAAATTCAACTAAATGATTTGAAAAGCCTGACGTAAAGCTTTTCAAATGTGACTTGGATTTAAAAATATTTTTGAACCCTTTGGCCAAGTAAAATAGGATTTAATGGATAATTTACACAACAGGTAGGACACTTACACATCTAGTACTTAGAATAAGGCTATTTTTTATTTTCTGGAGCTGTCAAGCCAGCAAGAGTGTTATTGTCCCTTTAAAGGTAAATCAACTAAAAGTGAATAAAATTATCTAATCTTGAAATGACTAGATAATTAATAAATGATTTAGTTGCCCCTACAGTTAAAATAAATTACGTATTTTACCTATATTTCTGATATTTAAAATAGCACAATTTACAAATATTATTTACTTGAGCTCCCATAAGCATAAAAATATCAAGCATTGCGCCGATATTCCGAGCAGAATACGACTAAATTATAACAGGGAGGTTTCGTGTACTAATTAACTTAATTGATAACTTGAGCCTATAACAAATATTCAGTTTTATCATCATTCAATTTTAGAAATTTCGTTCATATCCATTTTCTAATCTAATACAATGAAATGAAATGGGATTTAACGTCCTACTGCTCTGCACGGACGGGGCTAATGAAGACGGAATTTCACTAACACATTTCTCAAGTTGCAGTTTTGATAAATTGAAAGATGGTCAATTGGGTGTAAAAGAAATATTCTTCAAAAAAGGTAGGGGATATTGAAATGCAAATACCTATGCAAGTTGCGATATGATAAATAGTCATGGACATTTGACATGCTTTGAGAGTATGTTCACAGATGAAGAACTTATCGCCCCAACAAAACCACTGAGCTGCACATGCGACACGCAATAGCGCCATACACGTGGGAGGGGTTCATTGTCAAATTTGACACTTCAAGGAATGGATGATCAAAACTGCCGCGTGCTGGTTTATCTATCCATGTTTGCATTCCTATCGGTTCTTTCATAAGATTTACTGTTTAGCGTATCTTTGCTTTAGTGTGTTACGTTTAATTTGATCGGGAGACGTGTTCGTCGACGTCAACGTCAACCGAGAACACTGCAAGAATTGGCCGTGGCACTGCAAGAGGAGTGGGTCAGATTACCCCAAATCGTGATTGGACGGTTGATTAGGAGCATGCCACGAGGAATTGCTGAATGTCTGAGGATTGGTGGGGCAATTACTCATTATTAAGACAAAAATCAAAAACGTCCATTTTCACTTTTGACAGTGTATCTCTTTGCGAGTGAAATGGGACCGTCAGATAAGCCGCCCATATGAACTGTTGATGTTCATGTGTAGGCAATTGGCCTGTTATTAACATACACTGGTTACCTCTAATAAAAACAGCAGTGCATTTCTGCAGTTTTGTATTGTTTCTGAATATCCCCTACTTTTTTGAAGAATATATAACTGAGTTATTATCTGCATACAAATGAAAGCTGGGACCATATTTTCTGACGATGTCGCTTAATGTTGACATATAAAAGTTGAACAAAATAGGACCAAGAACAGAACCTTGAGGAACCCCAGATGATAAAACTGATTCAGGCGACGATTAACAATTAACTGTTTTCTATCACCAAGATTTAATGCAGATCCATAAATACCGAATTTAAAATGAAGACTATGTAAAATAATAGGGGGGCCACCGTGTCGAAAGCGGCAGATAAATTTTATAAAATTAAACATGTACAGTTAAAGCTGTTTCGGTACTGTGAAATTGTTTATTAGCACTTTGAAATGGTTCATATAAACAGTCATCGTCTAGATGAGCCTTTATCTGAGAACTAATGCATTTCTCCATTGTTTCAGAAATAAAACTTAAGTTAGAGATAGGTCTTTAATTTTTGAAAACATTAGGTTCCAGTGCAGACTTTTTAATTAAATGGGTAAAATAAGCTTCTTTGAAAATGTTGGGAATAGCAGACGATGATAAGCAGATATGACGTCAATGGTAAAGCTAATCTCATCTAAATATGAATGGAACTTTTCTCTGTATGGCTGTCGTAGTTATGTCCCTTTAAGAATGTACTAGAGGGACCCACTACACGCATAAAACAAAACCGATAAGACAAACCTGCGGACAAGACAAACTACACAGACATTGCAAAAAAATAACAATTAATATATAATCAAGTGACTGGGTACGGGGGCCAGCCGTAAGCGTCCACTGCGCTGTACAGTCCTGGGCCTGTAAATTGTAATGATCCCGTGTTCACTCAAAAAGAAAAACAAAATAATGAAGGATTTACAAGCAAGTCGTAAGATGAGTAACGCGACTTATCTTGGTGGTACTTATCTCCGGAATGTTCAATAGTCTGCCCAAGGGCATACCCAGGGGTTTTAGCAAACAGCTGGCCAGGACGTAGACAACTTCAAGTTTGGCGTGAGCTTTGGGGAATTAAAAGCTACTCACTTGGGGTCCAAAGGCTTGATATCAAAGAATTCGTCTGAGTTTGGCTATTTCAACAAAGTCTTCCTCCATCTAAAACGACAAACTGCTCAGGATCTGCTAAAGTAGATTTGGATAGCTGAGACAAAGATGGTGCTGACCAGTGACAAATTTACCCTTGAAGGCGTATACTAGTTTTGACATTTTTATAAATATTTCTTACACGCACTGAAGTCTGAAACATCCGCCATCATCTTCGGCTTTGCTCAATTGTATTTAAAACACAGTTTCATCTTCCTCTAGTCCCGTTAGTGGGGTGGGCGTGGGTACGGGACTCAAACGTGGAATAGCTCAGGGTCTCTCTTCATCTAAATCCGGCACTGCTGACGACTAAAAATCTGATTAAAATACAAATCTATATTTGTTACATGAAGATCTGACTGGTTGTAGTGGAAGAGGTCATATGCCAACATCGAAAAGGAATCGAAATATTTTCAAAATTGGATAAAAAGTTTGACCTTTAGAGTGTACACAAACAAATTGTGGATGGCATCCAGATGCACAGGGGTGACGACAATATACTCCACATGAAAATGTGGATGTATAAAAACGGTGACAAACTAAATGTAAATGATACTCGTTTATTAAAATAAACGAAAAAAACATAAAAATAAAAAATAAACTACTAAATACTAAGTTCAAGCATTAAACATATTTCATTTTCACTAACTCGACAAAATAAAATGTTTTTCACTATAAAATACAAGGATAGTAAAATATAACGAAGCACTAATACTTAACTACAGAGTCAACTTTTATTTACATTGTACTTGGTAAAGCTAGGTTCCCACTGTCGTGCTATGTGTTACCATACGATTGTCCCTATCGAGTCCACAATCTGCTACATGTAGATACGTTTTGTTACGATTGCCAAGACTGACGTCAATAGATGATAAGACCTGATAGGATCACCACGGTTAAAACCATGATTTCAATCATACCACAAATCATGATAGTAGGAACTTAGCATTACAAAATAACCTAAGATAGGTTGCTCAAATTCAATGGGCTTTTTCGTAAAACTAATTTAAATAATACATATAATTTTTAGACAGATTGAGCGTTCACAGGGTTCAACAAGGGCCATAAGTCTAGAAGTAATTAATGGAAATTGCTAAAAATTCAATAGGCTTCTTTGTTTCACTTATTTCAATGATGCATATACAAACATATACAGATCGGATGATAACTTTTGTCATTCGAGCGTTCACAGGGTTTAACAAACGGAAATATTACCAAGGAATTAATACATAATAAAACTTAATACTAACTTTAATCTTGATTAATTACTGGTTATTTTATTTTAAAGTTTTATAGGGTTATAATTTCTGTATTAGTTATATTGTAGTGTATTATTTTCATCCAGAAAGTAATATTACACTAGATCCAAAGTAAATATACATATAATTTATCCACTGGAGGTAACCTGAATGTGCTCCTTACCAGCAATATGGCTACTGTGAGAGTTGAACATATTCTACAATAAACTATCACACATAACAACAGCTACCTATTTATTTGGGAAACATTTTCCATAAGTATGTGTTATAGTAGATTAATATTCTACAATGTGATCTATATTTGGAATTCAAAGCTGCTGATCCTCATTTGAGAGATTTTGAATGACTTGCAGACAACAATATTGTGAAAGTTGAATCTCTTAAAGAAATATCAGTCAGGTCACGAAACATACGTTCGGGCGGTTAACAGAGTTGTCGCATATTTATAATTTTCGTCATTTGAAGGTTTACAAAGTTCTATAAACTGAAACAAGGGTGATAACTTTTATTGTTCAGGTGTTCACAAGGTTCAACAAAGTGAAACAAGGGCCATAACTCTTAGGCGTAATTAACGGGATATGCCGAATTCAGTAAGCTGCTTCTTCGTTTCACTAATTTAAATGATGCATATAAATTTCATACAATCAGATGATAATTTTTGTTGTTTGAGTGTTCATAATTTATTTCTACTATTATAGCGAGAACTGTCAGCTCTTTAGCAAAATCTTACATAATGCCCCTTTAAATACCCATTTAAATAATCAATTTCAAGTATATTTCAGCATGGATTTAGTTATTATCTACAATACATGATAATCAGCAAGTTATAATTTATGTTACCAAGAATAATTATTTTGACTAGTGAACTGATTCATAAAAATTATAAATCTTTAAATATCATGTTTATCACAACACTTATGTTACATATGGAGTTATCATAAAAATTGTAAATTTTTAAAAATCATGTTCACCACAACACTTAAGTTAGAGTACATTTTAGCATTGAAAATAGTCAGGGGCTTGTTATCAAGACTAATTATTTTGAGCAAACAAATCATTCATAAAACTATAATTCTTTAAAAATCATGATATCTATAACACTATGACTTAAATCGTCGCGTTATCCAGACTAATTATTTTGAGCAAACAAATGTTCATAAAACTATAAATCTTTAAAAGTCACAATTTCTAGAACACTATCATTAAATTAATAAAATTCTTATTTATCTTTTCGACTTCGTGTATTGTATCTCTTTACAAATTCTGTATTTACATCAGTAGACATAACCTGCAATCGTCCATCATTTTTTATTTTCTGTGGCTCATGGACTTCTTCACCAGCTGTAGTCATTGTAGTCATATCCACATAGGATTGATAAAGTAAACCAAGGGGGATAACTACCCATATACCATTAAAGAATATCAGGTACACCCACAAATAAAGAACATTATCAGTTACTAAATTTTTACTTCCTGTCAACCATTCGGGACAAAATGTCATCCAACCTACAAAAATAAACATATGAAATAGTTGCAAGAAACAAAATGTAATGGGGTTTAACGTACTACTTTTTCTGCACCGACTGGGCTAATGGAAACGGTAAAATAAATAGTGGCATGAAGAATCACACTCATCGTGTCACATGTCTGGAATAATGGTCAAGCAGTGACAAGCACTAAGGTCGGCACATGTCACAGTAAATATCCTAACCTGTGTACTTGCAATATGTCAGCAGTTGTCAAGATTTAACGTCCACTCGACACAAACTAGGTCATATTGGGACTAATATATGGTTCAATTTAATTTCAATAATTCACTTGCGCGAAGGGGGATCTTTAGCAGTAGGAAGAAACCAGGACCCAGAGAAAATCCATGAGGTCGGAAAGTCGGAACACAAATGTTTTGACATATTGCCAGATATCAGAGCGTACAGCATTTACTACAAAACAGTATTATTAAGTGCCAACCATGTACAAATCAACTCATCCCAGAAGCTTTGAACATTATGCTAGACACATATTAGTAATATCAACAGATTTGTACCTCAAACCCTGGACCTTATTGTTAGTGAGCCAACACCTTACCTACTGGGCAACAGTTTGATACAGAAAACATCAACTTAAAATCAAGGTGGGTAGATGTGTGGCATAGCATGCTTTAGATCATAAGGTCTGTCATTGAGTCAAGTAGGGTGGTTTTAATCCTACACTTGAGACAAGGAGTATGGTAGCCTGCCTCATGATGTGGGTTTTCTTCGGGTTCTCTGGTTTTCTCCCACTGCAAGCGATTATTGAAATAAAATTGTACCATGTGTTTGTCCCGAAATGATCTAGTTTGTGATGAATGGAGTTAACCCCATTTCGCTCTCTCTCAAAACAAATGACTTACCCCCATATAATTCACACACACACAAAATAATCTGAACGAAATGTCTATAATTCTTGTTTCGTATGATAGCGTAAATAAGCACAAGGCACAACAATCCATCAACAACTACTGTTAGTATCTCAAGGGAGACAACTGTAGGATCAGAAACCAACCAACGTTTATCAGCTTTACCATACTCTTTCCCTGAAATAGAAAGCCAGACAATGTAACAAAAACTCAAGTAGGTCAAGTTGTTTACATTATTTTAAAGGTTTAAAAATAAAAAATGTCAAAAACTCTCACTTTCATTACCGTAAGGCAGTGGTTCTCAACCTTTTTTTGCCAACGGCACACCATGGAACACATGAAAAAATAGCGGCACATCTGGCTAAATTTATATGAAAAATATCTGAATTTTGCAAAATACAAACATGGTAAGTCAGACGGCATACAACCATAGGCAGAGACTAGTCATAGAAACTTAGAATGACTCAAACTAAATGAAGAAAAACACAGCTATGAAATTATCAGTAGACACTAATGAATACTCAATTGGGATCACATGTTTTAGTGTTCCGTTCAAAATTTTGCGGCACACTTAGGAAGATCTTGCAGCAAACAGGTGTGCCCGTCTTCATTAGCCCAGTTCGGAGCAGGACAGTTGGACGTTAAACCCCATTTCATTTCGATTTCAATGTAAGGGCAGTAACTCTAAATAGCTTTCATCTGCACAACTAGTTGAACAGCCAATAAAGATAAGAGAACACTTTGGGCATTCTCGATTGACATCCCAAATTGACAGAATTGAGGTGGTATGAGTAGAATCGTGACTTTATTAAACACAACGATTATGTCTCAGCTTTCATGGTTGGTTGATATATTTTCTTATACAGTCGACATTTGTGTTGCAGTCCAAAATCCCCCTTTTCACTTGACTGACTCTATTTTGGGGATTTGGAAAGTTCAATTGAAATGAAATTGGGTTTTAACGTCCTACTGTTCTGCTCCGAACTGGGCTAAGGAAGACAGGCATACGCCATACAGTGTGCCATACAGTATGTTATGAGGGAAATTTTGCCCAGGCAGTGGCACTATGGCCTACTCTTATATCAAATTCCAACTGCCAAGGGATCTTTGACATGCACGCCAATGTATACATGGGACCTCAGTTTTTTGTCCCATCCGAATGACTAGACAGCTGTCCTTGTCAGGCCCTCTGTCCCACACCACTGACAAGGGGAAACCACGTCAAAAATATTCTGGGGATTGAGGAAATTCAGGAACGATCAATTGAGTATCCCCGAGGTTTCATACAACTCAAATACTGTGGGAAATGTAATGTGGTTTTAAGGGCACTTTAGCTCCAACTGTGCTATATTGCGCCAAACACATGGTGATCGTAACAAGACAAATCAAACAATATCACAGAAATATATTTGTATATATATATACGTAAATAAAAACAAATATTGGTGTTTAGTAAAATTCTCAATAATGTTGGAGCCCATGCCCTATTAACATATGCCCTATTAACATACAACCCTGTTAAAGGAGAATAAAAATATTATAAAATCTTCTTACATAGATCTGCAGTAAAATGTTGAGATTTTTCAACAGTACCAGTTAATGACAAATAAAGAAAGACAACTTCCTGAAATAGAAAATACAAACATGGGGACACCAAGCAAATGACAGCTTTCTAAATTGAGACAGCTTGAGACTTTCTTGTAATGCAAATACAGTATACAAATCGGGCCTACATCTACTCGTCACTAACTAGGTCATTTCGTGACAAATACATGGTTTAATTATATTTCAATTTTTGGTTCCATCCAAATGACTAGATGTTTTTCTTGCTCTAGAGGCCCTTCATCTTGCTATGCCCTTCATCTGATAAGGGGAATCAAGTTAATAGTCATCCTGCGCCATTACTCTGCATGGCACCCTGTTGTTCTTGAGGGTTTCTACTTGTACTGCACTCTATTCGAAGACCAAAAGCCCCTGTGCATAGTTTCGTTTATGATGTTATGATGTGTGTGCTGTACCATAAGGTCTGTCACTGAGTCAACTGGCGTGGTTTCAATTCCCCGGTTGTGCGTGTTGAGGAGTAGGGTCACCTGTCCAACCTCGTGGGTTTTTATCCAGGTCCTCCGGTTTCCTCCCACTGCTAAAGACCATATCCACAAGCGAATTATTGAAATAAACTTGAACCATGTGTTAATCCCGAAATGACCTAGTTTGTGTCAAGTGGACGTTAGTTAAACCCCATTTTTCTCTCAGTCTCTGTAATTTACATTGTGAAGAAAATTCTGATGTTACAAGAGAATTATTTTATTTGTGGGACTATTTCATTGTGAATCATGAACTCGTACAGGGAGTTTGCCAGGTTTCTGTTAAGGAAATTTGCCAGTTGACAATGATGATGCCATCATCCCCATCAAATTACGTAGGCATACATAAACTCTGAGCTTTTTAAAGAGACAAACCCCAACCTCATTTGACGTTAATTTTTATTATAAATTAACTTTTTATTATGAATTAAAAGGATCACATTGTGATTCAATTTCATTGACACCATTAACTGTGGTATCACATATGATGTCTACATTAATATCATATTATTTCGCATTTTGAATGCCTATCCCATACCACCATCTGATGATAAAGGATAAAGCAAACGACTTTGACACTTTTCCCATAAAATAAAAAGTGTTGTTTTACAATTTTTTTATTTTTTTTTTGTAGGTCTACTTGTAGCTTAACAACAGGGGGTGAGGGGTGATATATATAGAAATCTCTGCCAATTTATATAACACAATCACATATTAACTAATCCTATGCCCTTAATACAAATCTATAGTAGCCTATTCAGATCAGTATATAGATTACTCAGTAATTAATGTTCAATGATCCCTGTATTGAAAATATATGACTCAACTGACTGTTGAAGGCCATTGGCTACTAACCAGAGTCCAATGAATCAATGCGTCAAACACCAGCCAGGACAGAACCCATTTCTCAATTTGGGGCAAAGTCCGTTTTAACTTAAAACCACAAATGATGCTAAACACGGCAAATGCAGCCGTGGTTAATAAAGAAACTACAGTTACTGGATTAATCAAATCAGCCATGACTAATCAAATATCTGATTCAGTAATTTTGACAACCAAATATCTGTGGAGTTTACCGTTCCCTTGTTTACATTCGAGACACGTGCTTCAATTACCCCTAAGTACCACTAGAATTTCCAGTCAACAAACTCGGTCGATGGTTGGGCTAAAATTTGGGAATAGTTTGTTTGACTGAAATAAAAAACGCACTAACTCAATTATGATTACATCGTTTTTTGTCTATTTTGATTATTTTCCCCCAAGTTCAAATCTGACAGTTGAAGTCACAATTTTATTGAGATTTTCCTTCCAATAGCAATACCCTAAACAACGTGTTGACCTCTCTTTGCGAGTAAGGTCGTCATCTAGGGTTAAGGGTCAACGACTGACGTCATCAACTGAAAACAATGGCCGTACTAATATAAACAACTTGAATTAAGTCTGTGTCCGATGCATAAAACTGATGACAGCATAGTATCTAGTCGCTTCAGTATTTGACATTTTCATGTGGCCTCGCCCAGTCGATAAAATCAATCAGTTAGTTCAGTCGAATAATCCAGTCGAATAAACCAGTCGAAAAGTTCAGTCGAATAATTCAGTCGAATAAACAAGTTGCTCAATATTAAGCAGCGGTGGCAGCGGGCTAAGATAATATAGTAGCAAATCATGCTCGTAGCCATAGCTGAAGGAGCCGGGGGCATGGGGTAGGGACCGGGGGGCTTCCCAACTAATTTCAAGAAATGAAAAGAAATGAAATGGGGGTTCAACGTCCTTTTGTTCTGCTTGGAACTGGGCTAATGAAGACGGGCATACGCCATAGTGCACTGTGCGATGAGGGAAATTTTGCCCGGACAGCGGCACTACGGCCTACTCTTATATCGAATTCCATCTGTCAAAGGGATCTTTTACGTCCACTCCAATGTATACACGGGACCTCGGTTTTTCGTCCCATCCGAAAGACTAGACAGCTGTCCTTGTCCGCCTCGAAAAGAATAGAGTCCCTATATATGATATGAACGAAGAAAGGGGATGGGGTGGGGCGGGGGTGGGGGGGATAAGGTATTTGACATTTTCATGTGGCCTCGTCCAGTCGATAAAACCAGTCAGTTAGTTCAGTCGAATAATCCAGTCGAATAAACCAGTCGAATAGTTCAGTCGAATAATTCAGTCGAATAAACAAGTCGCTCAATATTAAGCAGCGGGCTAAGATAATATGGTAGCAAATCATGCTCGTAGACATAGCTGAAGGAGCCGGGGCATGGGGTAGGGACCGGGGGGCTTCCCAACTAGTTTCAAGAAATGAAAAGAAATGAAATGGGGGTTCAACGTCCTTCTGTTCTGCTTGGAACTGGGCTAATGAAGACGGGCATACGCCATACACTGTGCTATGATGGAAATTTTGCCCGGACAGCGGCACTACGGCCTACTCTTTTATCGAATTCCATCTGTCAAGGGATCTTTTACGTCCACTCCAATATATACACGGGACCTCGGTTTTTCGTCCCATCCGAACGACCAGACAGCTGTACTTGTCCGCCTCGAAAAGAATAGAGTCCCTATATATGATATGAACGTAGAAAGGGGATGGGGTGGGGCGGGGGATGAGGTATTTGACATTTTCATGTGGCCTCGTCCAGTCGATAAAACCAGTCAGTTAGTTCAGTCGAATAATCCAGTCGAATAATTCAGTCGAAAAGTTCAGTCGAATAAACCAGTCGAATAGTTCAGTCGAATAATTCAGTCGAATAAACAAGTCGCTCAATATTAAGCAGCGGGCTAAGATAATATGGTAGCAAATCATGCTCGTAGACATAGCTGAAGGAGCCGGGGCATGGGGTAGGGACCGGGGGGCTTCCCAACTAGTTTCAAGAAATGAAAAGAAATGAAATGGGGGTTCAACGTCCTTCTGTTCTGCTTGGAACTGGGCTAATGAAGACGGGCATACGCCATACACTGTGCTATGATGGAAATTTTGCCCGGACAGCGGCACTACGGCCTACTCTTTTATCGAATTCCATCTGTAAAGGGATCTTTTACGTCCACTCCAATATATACACGGGACCTCGGTTTTTCGTCCCATCCGAACGACCAGACAGCTGTACTTGTCCGCCTCGAAAAGAATAGAGTCCCTATATATGATATGAACGTAGAAAGGGGATGGGGTGGGGCGGGGGATGAGGTATTTGACATTTTCATGTGGCCTCGTCCAGTCGATAAAACCAGTCAGTTAGTTCAGTCGAATAATCCAGTCGAATAAACCAGTCGAATAATTCAGTCGAAAAGTTCAGTCGAATAAACCAGTCGAATAGTTCAGTCGAATAATTCAGTCGAATAAACAAGTAGCTCAATATTAAGCAGCGGTGGCAGCGGGCTAAGATAATATAGTAGCAAATCATGCTCGTAGCCATAGCTGAAGGAGCCGGGGCATGGGGTAGGGACCGGGGGGCTTCCCAACTAGTTTCAAGAAATGAAATGGGGTTTAACGTCCTTCTGTTCTGCTTGGAACTGGGCTAATGAAGACGGGCAGACGCCATAAACTGTGCGATGAGGGAAATTTTGCCCGGACAGCGGCACTACGGCCTACTCTTATATCGAATTCCATCTGTCAAAGGGATCTTTTACGTCCACTCCAATGTAGACACGGGACCTCGGTTTTTCGTCCCATCCGAAAGACTAGACAGCTGTCCTTGTCCGCCTCGAAAAGAATAGAGTCCCTATATATGATATAAACGAAGAAAGGGGATGGGGTGGGGCGGGGGGGGGTGAGGTATTTGACATTTTCATGTGCCCTCGTCCAGTCGATAAAACCAGTCAGTTAGTTCAGTCGAATAATCCAGTCGAATAAACCAGTCGAATAATTCAGTCGAAAAGTTCAGTCGAATAAACCAGTCGAATAGTTCAGTCGAATAATCCAGTCGAATAATTCAGTCGAATAAACAAGTCGCTCAATATTAAGCAGCGGTGGCAGCGGGCTAAGATAATATAGTAGCAAATCATGCTCGTAGCCATAGCTGAAGGAGTCGGGGGCATGGGGTAGTGACCGGGGGGCTTCCCAACTAGTTTCAAGAAATGAAAAGAAATGAAATGGGGTTTTAACGTCCTACTGTTCTGCTTGGAACTGGGCTAATGAAGACGGGCAGACGCCATACACTGTGCGATGAGGGAAATTTTGCCCGGACAGCGGCACTACGGCCTACTCTTATATCGAATTCCATCTGTCAAAGGGATCTTTTACGTCCACTCCAATGTAGACACGGGACCTCGGTTTTTCGTCCAATCCGAAAGACTAGACAGCTGTCCTTGTCCGCCTCGAAAAGAATAGAGTCCCTATATATGATATAAACGAAGAAACGGATGGGGTGGGGCGGGGGTGGGGGGGGATGAGGTATTTGACATTTTCATGTGGCCTCGTCCAGTCGATAAAATCAGTCAGTTAGTTCAGTCGAATAATCCAGTCGAATAAACCAGTCGAATAATTCAGTCGAAAAGTTCAGTCGAATAAACCAGTCGAATAGTTCAGTCGAATAATCCAGTCGAATAATTCAGTCGAATAAACAAGTCGCTCAATATTAAGCAGCGGTGGCAGCGGGCTAAGATAATATAGTAGCAAATCATGCTCGTAGCCATAGCTGAAGGAGCCGGGGGCATGGGGTAGGGACCGGGGGGCTTCCCAACTAGTTTCAAGAAATGAAAAGAAATGAAATGGTGTTTAACGTCCTTCTGTTCTGCTTGGAACTGGGCTAATGAAGACGGGCAGACGCCATACACTGTGCGATGAGGGAAATTTTGCCCGGACAGCGGCACTACGGCCTACTCTTATATCGAATTCCATCTGTCAAAGGGATCTTTTACGTCCACTCCAATGTAGACACGGGACCTCGGTTTTTCGTCCCATCCGAAAGACTAGACAGCTGTCCTTGTCCGCCTCGAAAATAATAGAGTCCCTATATATGATATAAACGAAGAAAGGGGATGGGGTGGGGCGGGGGTGGGGGGGGATGAGGTATTTGACATTTTCATGTGGCCTCGTCCAGTCGATAAAACCAGTCAGTTAGTTCAGTCGAATAATCCAGTCGAATAAACCAGTCGAATAATTCAGTCGAAAAGTTCAGTCGAATAAACCAGTCGAATAAACCAGTCGAATAATTCAGTCGAATAATTCAGTCGAATAAACAAGTCGCTCAATATTAAGCAGCGGTGGCAGCGGGCTAAGATAATATAGTAGCAAATCATGCTCGTAGCCATAGCTGAAGGAGCCGGGGGCATGGGGTAGGGACCGGGGGGCTTCCCAACTAGTTTCAAGAAATGAAAAGAAATGTAATGGGGTTTAACGTCCTTCTGTTCTGCTTGGAACTGGGCTAATGAAGACGGGCAGACGCCATACACTGTGCGATGAGGGAAATTTTGCCCGGACAGCGGCACTACGGCCTACTCTTATATCGAATTCCATCTGTCAAAGGGATCTTTTACGTCCACTCCAATGTAGACACGGGACCTCGGTTTTTCGTCCCATCCGAAAGACTAGACAGCTGTCCTTGTCCGCCTCGAAAAGAATAGAGTCCCTATATATGATATAAACGAAGAAAGGGGATGGGGTGGGGCGGGGGGGGGGTGAGGTATTTGACATTTTCATGTGCCCTCGTCCAGTCGATAAAACCAGTCAGTTAGTTCAGTCGAATAATCCAGTCGAATAAACCAGTCGAATAATTCAGTCGAAAAGTTCAGTCGAATAAACCAGTCGAATAGTTCAGTCGAATAATCCAGTCGAATAATTCAGTCGAATAAACAAGTCGCTCAATATTAAGCAGCGGTGGCAGCGGGCTAAGATAATATAGTAGCAAATCATGCTCGTAGCCATAGCTGAAGGAGTCGGGGGCATGGGGTAGTGACCGGGGGGCTTCCCAACTAGTTTCAAGAAATGAAAAGAAATGAAATGGGGTTTTAACGTCCTACTGTTCTGCTTGGAACTGGGCTAATGAAGACGGGCAGACGCCATACACTGTGCGATGAGGGAAATTTTGCCCGGACAGCGGCACTACGGCCTACTCTTATATCGAATTCCATCTGTCAAAGGGATCTTTTACGTCCACTCCAATGTAGACACGGGACCTCGGTTTTTCGTCCAATCC